CTTTTTCTTTCTGCTGTTCTGTTTGGGTGTTTTCTGCTAACTAATCTTCTAAACTACAGATTCAATCCCCTGCTTTATCTAATGTACTGTTGATTTCCACTAATGTATCCTTCATTTCTGTTATTGTATTATTTATTTCTGACTTTTTTGTTTGTTTGTTTTCTATCTCCATTTTTATGTTTTCTATTTCTTTGTTGAAGTTCTCCCTGAGTTTACTAAGCATCCTTAAAACCAGTGTTTGGAGCTCTGCATCTGGTAGGTTCTTTTTGTTTAGTTCTTTTTCTGGAGCTTTGTTCTGTTCTTTCATTTGGGATATTTCTTTGTCTCCCCATTTTGGCTGCCTCCCTGTGTTTGTTTCTATGTGTTAGGTAGGGCTGCTATGTCTCCCTGTCTTAGTGGAGAGGTCTTATGTTGTAGGTGTGCTGTGGGGCTCAGTGGCACGGTCTCCCTGATCATCTGACCTGGGTACTCCAGGTGTGTTCCTTGTGTGGATTGTGTGTTCCCTCCTGCTGTTGTTGTGCCTTGGCTGCTGTTTGCACATTAGTGGGAGGGGTTGATCCTTGGGCTGATTGGTTGTGAGGACTGGCTGTGACTATAGCGGAGGAGCTGTTTTGCAGGGACTGACCCTAGGGAGTAGGATTCACTTTAGCAGGTCTCTGGTGCCTGCCCAGTTTGCTCTTTGGGTGTGTCATCCTTGGAGGGAGCCAGGTGATGCTCTGGCTGGGTCCAAAGCAGGCCACTGGGTGTGCCAGCCCTGGGGCTTCCCGGGAGGAACCTCATAGCTGACCAAATTCAGCCACAGCCTGGGGCCACCTGACATGAGCTAGAAAGCAATCCGCAGCCCATGCTGGGCTTGGAGGTGCCTCAAGAGGCCAAGCAGGGAGCCAAACCTGGCTGTTGCTAGTGCCAGGCTTAGGGCTGCTCATCCAGAGGTACAGGACACACCAAAACCAGATTCTGCTTGTTTGGGTCTTGTGAAACTTTGAGAGATTTTAGGAAAGTCTGCAGTAGAGCCAAGACCAGCCATTTATATGGAAAAGCTACTGGAAGCAGCTTGGGTGGGCCCAAAAGTTAGGTGGGGTGGGGTTTCAGGGAATCAGCGTGAACAAAGGTGTTAGCCAGGTTGGTGGAGACTCAGATATGGCAGCCACCTGCATCTGCATGCCAGGAAGGGGGAGGGCTCAACAAAGAAACAATGGCTTCTGCCAGCTCCTTTGTCTGAGGAAAAGCTTCCCCTCCAGCCCTTGTCGTGAAGTCAGATAATTCAGTTCCTCTCCATCTGTTCCTGGTGCCTTTCACGCTGCTACCCTAGCTCTGGAGCTCAGAGCAAGTGAATCCATCAGTGAGTAAGTCTGTGCACGGGCCCTTTAAGAGGGGCACCTGGGACTGCAGCTGCTCTTGTGTCACCCAGCCACAGTCTCCACAGGTTTTCATAGCCAGAAGTTATGGGGACTTCTCTCGCTGGGACTGAAACCCTGGGCTGGGGAGCCTCATGTGGGGCTGTGACTCCTCGCACCTCCAGGGGGGATCTCTTCACCCGAGATATCCCTTTTGATTTTGAATGGTCACACACAGGTATGGGACCAGTCTGTTCCATGTATCCATACCTTCTACCGGTCTCCTTATTCTGTATGTCCTTAGTTGTAGCACTTCAGTTCAGCTAGACTTCAGGTGATTCTCAATGATGGTTGTTCTGTAGTTTAGTTATAATTTTGATATGGTCACGAAAGGAGGTAAGCACAGCATTTATCTACTCTGCCATCTTGACCAGATCCCTACTTCTGAACTTTAAGGAATCCTACAGGAGTTGGGGTGAAATGACTGTTGCACCCTCAGTCACACACCAGTTTGAGGGGAGCTGGAGCCAAAACATGGCGCTCCCCACATTCCATGCTGTGCCTGCCCCCTGTGGCATAGGTCAGGGATGAAGGAGGCTTCCAACCCCAGGCCACCTGGATTGTGAGCTAAAGAGCAGGGGCGGGAGAAGCAGAGATGAGAAAACAGTGAAGACCACCACTTGTAATCCCTGGACCGTCTTGCGACACTGAAAAGTCTCTTTAGGTACTACCCAGTGGGGGTACTTCCTAGTGGCCCCCCAGAAAGGGAATGAGAGGGGGAGCTAAGTGTGCAATTGAACAGCAACAGCAGCCCAGGTACCTGGCTGACCAGTTAAGAGACGTGAGATGGATGATGTGTGTCCCAGGACGAGGGTGTGGGGACTCGGGGACGCAGGCCTGAGAGAAATGCTGCCTCAGGTGGGGAGGAAATGCAGGGTGGGTGCCAACTTTGACCAATCCCTGTTGTAAGTAGCCCTGTGGTTGGCCAAGGATGTGGAATGCGAGACAGGGCACAGTATGGCCTCTAACTAGGGTAGCAGCCTGGGGCATCTGAGGCTGCCTACAAGAGTGGGCAGAGTGCTGAGGTAAACGTCCTGGGGTCCAGCCTGAAGAGGCCCTTTCAAGGAGCTCTGCCTAGAGGAGGAAGGGGCAGCCGCCATAACACGCCCCTCCCCCATCCTCATCCCAGCACTGGCATTTCTAAATCCAAAGGGGGAAAGATGACACAAAGGCTCCCAATGTGGACAAAGCAGAGTGCCTCCATTTAGTTTCCGTCCCCGCAGGACAGAGCCTTGGCGAGATCCTGGGATCTGAAGCTCCACGGGGACCGGCCCCTAACGAGGTGTGTGCCTCATGGAGGAGCCTGGGTCCCTGCCAGGCAGGGGCTTTTGGCAGCTGCCCTGACTCCTGCTTTTGTTTGGGTGTCCACCCCCCTCATGTGCAGGAGCCAGGCCCCCGGGACCAGCGTGGGCTCCTTGCCTCCCTCTGTCTTCCCTCTGGCTCTGACCTGACTCTGAAAGGCAAACTCCAGCTTTCCCCGGGCTGCTCCCCTCTTTAAGTTTCCACAGTGGGCCTCAGGCATGGGAGAGCCGGGGTCTGGTGTCCTGGATCTTGGGGGGACAGGGGGCCGGGGAAGGGGAGAATATGGTTGCCAGCCTTCCCTTCCTCCTCATGTCACCTGCACATCTGAACGCTGTTTCCCCTCTTCTGTCCAGCAGCTCTTTTATAGTTTTTCCTTTCTGAAGTCAAATAACCTGGGAGACTGCTGCATGATTTGAGGGGCCCAGCAACTGCTGGGGAAGAGGTCAGACATGTGGCTTCCGTTGGCTCAGCCTCTACCTTGAAGCTGCTGTTGGCTCTAGAATCAACTGTGGAATGTAGGGATGTCCAAGGGCCTGTATTATTTTAAACAAACCCAGTATATGAAAATCTGTATTTTCAGGGGGAAAAACGTGATTATTCTCTTTATAAAGAATTGAATACAAAGTCTGCACTGCGTTAGGAGTTGGTGCCCATGTCTGCCTCCTGGCTCTGAGGCATTTTTGCTGTCTATATTATTCTCACTTATGCTTCTGGCCTTCATTTCTTCCTCTATAGAGTAGGGGCATTGAAACCAGCTCTCCATCAGCCGGTCAAGGTAGGGGCCAGATGGGTCACCCCTTGGTGAAATCCACTGTGGGATTGCTTTAAGATGTCAGCTTTCTGGGCATGTTATAGTAGTATTTGATTCAAAGACAGCCTCCTTTTTTTTTTTTTTTTGTTAGAAATTTTATTGGGGAACAGTGTTTTTTTCCAGGACCCATCAGCTCCAAATCAAGTAGTTGTCTTCAGTCTAATTGTGGAGGGCACAGCTCCGTGGCCCATGTGGGAATCAAACTGGCAACCTTGGTGTTACGAGCCTGAGCTCTAACCACCTGAGCTAACCAGCCGCCCCAAAGACAGTCTCCTTTGCACTCAGCTTTTCAGCAACCTGTCCATCGTGTGGGTTTGCTGATGGGGATCTTAGAGGTGACAAAAGTCCTGGGTTGGCCCCGTCTGGGGTCTAAAATCAGGATGAGAGGTTCTCCTAGGAAGCCAGTGGGAAAGCTCTCCCCTGATAGGCCAGCTTTGCAGCCTGGCTAGGGTGTGGCCAGACAGCCTCTAAGCCAGAAGAGCCTGGAACACCATTTGCCGCATTTCACAGAGCCCCCTCCCCACACCCCCAAGTCTTTTAGTACAGCTCTGGGGGTTCAACAACTCTCCCTAGACAGCTTGTCCCTGCAAACTTCACCTTCTCCTCACCTCACTTCACCTCTCTCAAGCCACTGGCCTCCTGATCCCACTTCATTTCCTTCTCCCCTTCGCCCCCTGCCTGTCTTTCCCCAAGTGTCTTCTAAAAGATATTTGATTTCAGTGAAAGCTGGGCTGACATCCATGCAATATGCTCTCGCTCTCTTTGTGCTTGTTGGGAAGGCGGAGAGCTCCTCCAGGGATTCTGGGTAATTGGGTTAGTGGCCAGCTCATGTCAGGAAATTAAAAGGCGGCCCTGATCAGGTTCCCCTGCATGGGACTTAATGGCTTTGTATTTATAGAGTATTCTACCTCTAGCCCATGCCAGAAATACCACTCTCCTGGCCCCGTGAATGAAGAAAGAAGATGAGAGATGGCTTACCTTTAAAAATTCTTTTTCTTTTCCAAAATACATCAGCGTTCTGAAATTAACCAACTCTCCTGCACTTCAGAGAACAGCTTTGAACTAGAGCCCAAGAACTCTGATGTATGTTTGGAGCCCCCGGAACACTTTCCATCCTACCTGCACACACAGACAGACACACACACACACACACACACACACACACGTATATCTGATGGCTCACAAGATCATTCCATGTGGCCTGTGACCTCTGGGTCACTCAGGCACGATGACCTGATGACCTCTGACTGGGGAAGTGTTGATTGAATGAAGTCATGGGAGATGATCTTATCTGTGCTGAGTCCTTGTGACTGTTCATTCAGGGCTTTCGGTGGTTCAAAGCATTGGATAACAGGTTCAGTGGTCATACAGACCCAGTAAGACCCCAGCATCACCACTTATCAGCTCCTTGGGTGATTTACTTAAGCCTCTTTCAGCCTCCCTTTCCTCTTCTGTAAAATGGGAATAATAATAGTAGCCATTTTCATCTGGTGCCCACTTTACAGGGAAAGCCCCTAGAGTTGTACCACAAAGTAGAATGTTGGTCATTGATTTGGGATAGACACTCTTCATCATGTGATAAAATTGGTTGTCTTCTGTGATCTAGAAGGCAGTTTTGAATCTCCCATCACCTCTCTCTCCGTTCCTTGGCTTCACATTTTCTGGAAGAAAAAAAAAAATTAGAAACAGTCAAGTGGGGGAATTTCTTACTTTCCATTGCATTTAGAATAAAATCTGAACACTTTACCCTGGTTTTCAGGACCCTGCCTGATCGGGCCCCTCCCCGCCTCTTTGCTGCCATCTCCCCCCATTCCTCTCCTGCCCCCTCACTCCTATTCACTCTGTTCCAGCCTCACCAGTTTACTTTGGATTTGCAAGCATGACAGACTCTTTCCCACCTTAAGGTCCTCAGGCTGTTTCCTCTGCCTGGGATGCCCTCCTCAGGACTGGCTCCTCCAGGTTCAACTTCAGTGTCATCTCAGAAAAGGCCTCTCTTCCCACTGCATCGCTTTCTACAGTATCCCCTTGTTTACTTCCTCTTTGAATTTCTCCCGGTCTTATGTATTCATTTGTGTACTTGTTCACTCTGACAGCCTGTAAAACAATTATTCTTGATTTAGGGATTCACAAATCCTTTTGAAAATCCAGTTAAACTCTACTATAAAATACGCACAAGTACCAACACATAACATTTTGCAGACAACTTAGGAGTTTCACAGAACCCGGGAAGCCCACCTAAGAGGTTCCTGAAGCCAGATTAAGGGCCGTTGTCCGCAGCATCAGACTTTTAGAGGCAGAAAAACCTGAGGAACCATCCAGGATCCAGGAACGCAACTTGCCTTTAGTTGGACTGTCAGGTCTAGGGTGGGGAGTGGCTGCCTAGAGTGCATGATTGAAAAGGCTTTTTAGGCAATGCCTGGGATCAGTAGGCAAGAATGTCACGAGCGATTAGCAATGTCTGCCACAGACTAGGAAATGGAGGGCTGTAGCACTGCCAAAAGCTATTTGCCATGCCTGATCTGGTGCATCTGAGTTTAAAAGATTTGCCCAAGGCCACGGAGCTAGTAAATAACAAAGCTGGGTGGCATCTAGTCTCCTTGGTTATGCAAGAATTCCTTCTAAGAAGCCTGTTTCAACTCAATGTAGATGGCTTGGCCAGCAGTGAAGCCCATAGCCCTTCCTCCAAAAGGAAAAAAGAGGGAGGGAAAGGAAGGGGAGGCTGGGTGGAAAATTTTTCCTCACCCGGTGTACAGTTTGGGGGACTTCTTGGTCGCTGGGGATGCAGCCATGGCACAGGCTTGTGGAAATGCTCTTGGGGATATGGTACCCCGGGTGAGATGGGTCCCCAGGACAGAGCAGCATGAGATGGGTCCTTCTCTAGTCGGCAGGAGGCAGGGGGCTCATCCCTCAGTACCAGTGTACCTACCCTGGACCAGTTCCCACGAACCCCAGAATATTGGGTGGCATGTCCCATGAGGCTCTCTCTCTTGACTTTCATTGAGTCCAGCATGACGCACTCTGTACCGTGATGATGTGGCACCCAGCTGAGAAGCAGCCCAAAATAGCCGTCCTTTCTGAGGCAGCAAGGTGAGCTCACCTGCCATCCAGAAATCCCCACAGGGCAGGTGGCTGAAGACAGTCCCACGGATGCAGAGGATGTGGACAAGTTGTCTGGGTGTTCTGCTGGGCTGTGATGCCCATCAGCGTGCCCACATGACCCACAGCCTCTAGGCCCTCAGGAGCTCTGGGTACCCACACCACCCTCGGGTGTTTTTCTCTTCTTCCTGGAGATGGGTCAGCTATAGTTTGGGAGAACTTAGAGGCAAAGAGTCAACCCCAAAAAGCCCCCTGGGAAGAACACAGGTCAGATAAAAGTACGGAAAAAACAAAACAAAACAGATTTGGTGCAGAGCTCCCCAGACCTGGCAGATAATCAGAATCATTAGGGGACCTTTGAAAAATTATCCATTCCTGGACATTATCCCAGAGCTACTGACACAGGGAGATCAAGATTCAAATCCTCCCTCTGACATTTCCTGGCTACGTGACCATGAGCAAGCCACCCGGCCTTTCTGAGCATCAGTTTTCACATGGGAAATAATAATCAGGTATTCTGCCTCCCTCAACATTGTTGTGCCGATCAAAGGAGGTATGGAAATAGCTTTGTAAACCGTGGACCATTGCATACACGTGAACCTGCTTCCATTGTTAATTAACCAAGGACATTAAATTTGAGGGAGGGGAGTGGGATTTCCAGGTATGGGGAAGAGAAGGGTCTTCTTGGCTCTGAAACCTTCGCAATGTCAGGAGGGACCCTGCCCTCAGACAGGACAGCAGCTCTGCAGAGGAGGCAGGAGAAGGACATGGGCTCAGAGGTCTTTCCCTCTCCGGCCTTGGCCGAGCCTTTCCTGCGGGAAGAGAAATGTGACAGGGCCAGTGCCTGGGATAGGCTCTGGGCCAGGTGCAGGGCCGCGCTTTTCAGAGCTCTCATTGGTTATTTTTAGTGCCTGGGCATAAATGAAAGAAATTTAAGCTGCCCCCCGCTGCCGCTGCCCCTGCACACTCGGCTATTTTTACTTCCGAAAGACTGGGCTCTCGTCCAGCTTAGGGAAGGAAACCAAGAAGAAAGGCGTGGGGTGGAGGGCAGCGGGAGTTATTTTACTTCCATTAAGAAAAAAGTCAGAAGCCCAATCTTATCAAGTCAGCAAGTGGACATCTGATCCAGGACGTGGCAGCCGCCAGCTCTGGGCGCTCTGACAAGCCTGCAGTAGGTTGGAGAGGTCAGCAGATGGGGCATGGGTTCCCCAGAGGTTTGGGGAGCTCCACTCCCCTCCTCCCAAGGAGTTTCTGCCCCAGAGGGGTCCTGCAGCTTCTTTGCTGTTTCCTGTGCCCTACACTGGGAAGTGGGATTAGACACTGCAGACAGGGGACAACAGCCCAGTGATGACACTGGTGGGGTGGGGGTGGGAGTATGACTGCAGCCAAGGGGAGGGTCCCTGTCATAGTGTTGGACAGAGGCGACCACTCTGCCCTGTGGGCATATTCAGGAGCCTGCCTGTGTTGAGGCTGTGTGCCCCTGGGCATAATATTTAACCTCTCTGAACCTTAGTTTCATGTGGGTTCTGTTCACATCTGCCCCATGGTGGTTATCACTAAGAGGGTGTTTCTCTCTCTTCCCAAAAAGGAAGCTGGCAGTTCAAGCCAGATCTTACCGTCTTCAATAGGCAGATGAAAGGAAAGAAATCACTACTAAATGCCTACTGCGTACCAAGCATTTTGTTATGCTTCACACATTTTATGTTACTTAATTCCACTAACCTGAGAAAGGTGAAGTATTTTAAAAAAA